ATTATTAGCTGTCGTTCATTGCTTTCGCCTTTGGAGGCACTATTTACTGGGAACCCCGTTCGTGGTCAAGATAGACAATACGGTTGTTAGCCATTTCGTGACCCAGCCGAAGATGAATGGTCGACAGGCCAGGTGGCAGGAACAACTAGCGGAATTTTACTTCAACTTGGAGTACCGAAGTAGGAAGACTAATCATGTTGCTGATGCGCTCAGTCGGAGAGATGATCTAACATCGGTGTGCCTACTCGCCACCCTAAGGGGGAGCGAAGTAGTCACCACCATAAAAGACCAGATACATGATCTACTCATCAAGGATCATGCTGCATAATATTTGGTTGATTTGGTAGGACAGGGCAAGACTCGCCAGTTCTACACAGAAGATGATTTTCTGAAAGTGAAAGGGAACCAATTATATGTTCCTAAAGGAGGAGATCTGCGAAGGACTCTTCTGGCGGAAAGCCATGATACTTTGTGGGCCGGTCATCCTGGTGAGGAACGCACCATGGCATTACTTCGCCATGCTTATTGGCCTCAAATGGCCGATGACATCGCTCAGTATGTGAAGACTTATCTAGTATGCCAGAAGGATAAGTCGGACCACTTGACGCAAGTGGGACTCTTAGAACCACTAGCTGTCCCAAAAAGACCTTGGAAAAGCGTTTCCCTGGATTTCATCACCGGATTTCCCAAGGTCGGAGATCTCACAACTATCTTGGTTGTGGTGGATCGCTTTTCCAAGTATGCTACCTTTATAGTAGCCCCACAATATATATCAGCAGAAGATATAGCTCGACTCTTCTTCTCCCATGTCGTCAAATATTGGGGCCTGCCTAAAGACATCGTTAGTGATCGCGACTCACGCTTCACTAGCAACTTTTGGACCCAACTCTTTAAGTGCCTCGAGTAAAAATTGAGTCACAGATCAAGTTTTCATCCGCAATATGATGGCCAAACGGAGAGATTCAATGGCATGCTTGAGGAATATCTCCACCACTTCGTAAACGGATCGTAGAAGAAACGGGTAAAGCTTCTGGATGTTTCTCAACTGTGTTTCAATTCACAAAAGAGCTCTAGTACCAACCGAAGCGCTTTTGAAATTGTTACCGGACAACAACAGCTATTCCCACACACCGTCAATGCACCAAACATGTCAAAATCTCCTCGAGATTCTAGCTTCTCAAAAGAATGGAAGTGAAATTTGGAGATAGTGCGGAGCTATCTTGTCAAAACCTAAAAGCGAATGAAGAGGCATGCTGATCAAAATCCTCGCTTTGTTGAATACCAAGTAGGAGACAAAGTGATGGTCAAAATCCCAAAGCAGTACTTGTTTGCAGGGGTTCATGACCCTCGCCTATTGCAAAAATATATTGGACCCTTGTCCATTGAAAGGCATATTGGGAAAGTTGCATATCAGGTGGATACCCCAGCTTGGTGGAAAATTCATCCCGTTTTCCATGTTAGTCTCCTGAAACCTTTTCGGTAAGATATAGAGGATCCTTCACGGAGCCAACTCACAATACCCAGTATTCGAGGCCCCAATTCAACCGGGAAAAGGCGCGCTGAAGCTATTCTTGATGATCGAGTGATTCACGCCTCAAGGAAAGATCACCAAGAGTTCTTGGTGAAACGGCAGGGATGTGATACAGAGGAGAATACCTAGGAGAGGGAAACAAACCTCAAAGCCTACAAGAGCCTAATTGATGATTATCTTGCAAGTAAGGCATCGAGGACGTCACCAACTCAGGTGGAGGAGAATGTCATGGGCGGCTTTTCAGCCATGCCCCATGACTCCTTGGACGAGCTCCCTGGCGTCCTGGCAAGCCTCCCAATGCCCAGCGCCACGGTCGGCCCCGTGGTCTCGGCAGATTCAAGTGACAAACGCGCATGTGTCTCTGTCGCCCCACCGATAGCCATCGCCAGCGCCCAGCCACATGCAGATGCCAACAGCACCGCACGTGCAGACAACGTCGCGCGCGCAGACCCTAATGCTAAAGACAAAGTTGCTGCCAACAGACTTGTTGTAAAAGACTAAGTCCTTTTCATTGTAAATATAGAGTAGTTTTACTATATTTTCTTTCAGTGTGCTTCTACAACTTATTTAGGTCAAGTTATGTAACCTTGGTTTATTTTTTTAAGCATTATTAAGGGGATCAAGCAATCAAACTTTCTAGCAAACAAGCGATTCTCTGTACTGGTGTCTCTCCCCCCGACACCGTGTTATTTTTCTGTAATAGCTTTCATTAATGCAATCAAGCTTTCTTTCATTCTCAATTCTCTTTTCTGTTCTCTCAATTGCTCTTGACATTGGTTTTCCCGTACGACACTGACAATCTATTCTAGCGTATGGAGGGAACCTCAGTTGGCAGATAGTAACTACACTGACATCGGTTGCTTGGCCTTACGTCGCCCTTCCAAGGAATTTCAGGAAGGCGCCGCGTAACAGTAATCGTGATTTTTCACAATTGCTCAATAGTTACACTCCAATTTAACATTGAATAAATCGCATAGCCTGACCCAGAGTGATATATAGAATAAACAAACAAGATAAATTAGGATAATTTATTTGTCTTGAATTCATTATCTTGGATGATAGAACAATTGTTAAGTACCAGACCACAGTTCTCAACAAACTAGTAAAACAAATAATTTTGAGAGGTTTTAATGACAGAATTGAATTTATTTTGATTTAAATAATAGGGTTTTCTGTCCATTGATGTCTCTAGAAAGAATGAATAGAAGTTGGGACAAGTCGACAATTGACAGCGCAAAAAGGCTAGTTCAATTTCAAATGTATGAGTCAGTTCTTTATTGTCGGACCTCATGATCTTAGAAACATTAACGACTTCGTGATTCTTGATTTTCACAGTTTCTTCATACTAATTAAACTGACATATATAGAAAGTTTAGATTCATAACATTTGATCATGATTAGACAGTTCTCTTATATGTAAAATTAAAGGTGACTTCTTCTTGAATTTGCTTTCTTTTCCTATTTGTGAGAACCACTGGGTTGTTTTGCTTTTGTATACAACTGAATATTTTTGTATTATAGTATAAGATATTCATATGATGATCAATTAAATTGGTTGAACTTGTTGTAAATGGGCACAGCACATGAGCTGAGCAATAAAAAAGGATAGTTTCAAAATCATCAGAGCATCTTGAGTGATTGTAAATAGTTTAATGCTACAAGAACAATCGAGCCAGAGGGGTAAGAGGGTCAAGATTTGTCCTAGTTCATGAACACAAATATTCTGTCCAGTGAAGGGGAAACAATCTTGTTTTCAAACTTGTATAGATTATAATTGTCCCAAAATCCTTTACTTCGTTTGTGTATAATTTGATCATTAGTGAAAAATATGATTTTTTGTGGCACGCGGCTAGCTGCATGTTTATGTTAAGCAAGAGTTGCTTCTGAGTCACTCGTTAATGTCATTCTGGTTATTGAAACTTTGGAATTTAAAATTTTGAGTCGTCATATGTTGAAATTGCAGGGAGGAGGAATGTACGCTGATAGTACTCAGAAAGGTTATGTTGAGGAGGGAATTATGAAAAGTAGTACTACAAGAAACGAAAAGGAGAAAGAGAATATCATGATTAAGTGATAAAAGTGTAGCGTACAAACACTATTGATTTGATATAAACACTTAATTTATGTCTTAATTTTTACCATGAGACAATTTTAAGGCCGAAGTCTTTCCTCTTTGAACATATATTATTTAAACTTTAAGAAAGAATTCTAATCTTGTATGTGTAATGCAATTTTTTGCGAAAGAAATTCAGATATAACCGTCTCCTAGCTCCGCCCTGTATACAACATGAATTACCAAAAAGGGGTAGAACTTCAAGTAGCACGAAACAGAATACTGAAGCATTCGGCTACAAGGAGCGGAAATAAGGGTGTGGGCTAAGTTTTGACACGTTTAGTGCAATGATTTTCCCAAATTTGGTCCATTACGATTGTGACTTATTCCAACCACAAATATTGCAGAGACTCGGACAAGTATGAATGCAAGTCTATCCAAGTCACTCGGCCTCATCTAGTAGGATGTATTTGAGAAAATTTTATATGTATTAGTTTTTGTATTATTAATATATAATTAATATATTAATTATATATTCTATTCCGTATTATTTTTATATATAGCAAATCATGAAATTAGAAATACCATATTTTTTAATACATGAAAAGCATGTATAATTATAATTAATATCGCCTTTTTAAAACTTTTAGTACACCAAACAAATAGTCAGTACGAAATATAATTAATCTCAATATTACTAATTTCAGCATTACTAATACACTACGCTCGGTACTATTCTTATACATCTTGCCAAATGGCCCCTGACTGTTTAACACGCAAAATCAAAAACGGATATTTATATTTCCTTTTTTTTTTTAATTTTATTTTTCATTTGTGCTAGCATTCTCTAATCAATAACAATATTTATTATCTTTAAAGGTGACCAAAGAGTAGAAAAAGTTCAATGCAAGTTTTGATATATGGATGGACGCAAAGAGACAGTTTCTGCATATATAGATTTCCGAAGGCCAAAGGGATAAGATTTCAGAAGCATCAGAAATTCTCCTACCTATTGCTGTACATAGATCTAAAACAGCATATATATGTTTGAAACCTATCTACAATTCTAAAAATATAGAACTGATAGTATCCATTTTTTTGCTAGAACTTAAGTTGAAGGACTTTTTCCTATGTGTGTCATTTTCTCATCAAAGAAAGAACAAAGGTATTCCCATCCGATATTTGGTACCAGCATTGGGCCTGATTAAATTCGAATTCGCACGGAAAAGTTTTATATTAGGGTACAACGTTTTCTAACAATAGTGACTTCATATATAGGGCTCGAATCCAAGACCTTTCGTTAAGAATAATAACTACTTATCATTCCACCACAATCCTCATCGGTGCACATTACCATCCTAACACTCCTTAGATGCAGTTACATTCATTGATTCTTATAGTTGTATCAGAAGAAAATGGAAAAGGAACAAGGTAAAAATGTCTCAAGTGCTGCAGTACAAGATTTGGATATTAATTAGTGGATTAAAACAAAAGGAAAAAGATAAAAAGGGAATAACTTAACCTAGTACTCCTTGAGAAGTAAGAATTACTAAATCTTATTGAGTAAGAGAAGATGCATTGCCAGTGGATATAGAGGAAGTGTTATTCTTATGATTATGCATCCATACTTTAAACACCTTTCTACTTACCCCTACCTCTCTGCAAAATCTTTCAGTTTCATTTTCTTGATCTTTCCTTTGCAGCGTCCATCCTAATTTCTCCGCAAATGCCAGCATTTTCTCCTTCTGATCTGTCGTAAACTTTGTCCGAAATCTCTTCTTCCCGCTCCTCGGTGACTCCTCAGCTGTCCTCCCTCCGGCGTAGTCATCTGCTGCCATGATTTCTCGGTCGCGGCTGCTATTGTTGCTGTAACTAGCACCGTAAATGACTTTCACCATGACAACCACAGGCAGCGCAGTGTAAGCTTGCGCTGCCCGGGGAAGTGTTGTTGTTGTTGTCGTCGTCATCAAGAGTGAATTCTCCACAGCCGTCAGTGGCATAACTTCCGAGGCTGGCTGCATGGTTCCTTAAGCACTCTCTGTAAATATTGTCATTTGCTTTGTCTCCTTGCATTATTCTCTCTCCCTCTCCTTATTCTTCCTCTCTTGCCTTTCTACTGTACGTTGTTGCCACTTAATGATGATAAGCTTTATATGCACATTGCATTCCCTAGTTTTTAATAACAGTATCTTACACAAATAGCCATTTGAATTTATTCTTTATTTTACTTATTCGGTATACATAAATTATACCCTGGTTATATATTATTATATACATAATATTATATATTTTACTGTTATTTTTAGTTTAAGTGATGGGGTGAGCGACTGTTTAAGTTATAAATTATTTTATAACACTGGTACATTTTTTTTTTTTTTGCATAGTCCGCTCGTACATGATCTAATGTTTTTTTTGTTTTATAACAACGTAGCTCCATCTTTCTTTTTTCACCTTACACCAAGTATCAACAATAGCGGTTCACTTACATATACACTCTTATTATAAGTCAAACTCTTGACATACCAGAAGGAAAGTTAAGGTGTCTTTGACTGGACCAAAAGTACAAGTTTTTACTTCTTAAGTGGGAAAAAAACAAGTTTTTACTTCTTAAGTGGCAAAAAAACAAGTTTTTACTTCCTTAACATGTTAATTTGAGGACAAAGTCTTCCTCTACTTTATGAGCTAAATTGATTTGGCCTCAATTCTAAATAAAGGTACATTTCTTTATCTTAGTTACACTAGGATGTGACATGGAATGTGTGTGCTAAGACTGTCAATATTATTTTTCGTAAAAGAATATTTCTTGAAAATAATTGGTCACTACTTGACCACCTCAAATTGATAATATTTTCTTAATAAATATAAATTAGATGCAGGTTATAATTCATGTCATTTATGAGCGTGAGCCATTTTCTTACAAGTATCTCAACTCTTGCTACTACATAAGTATTACTTACCAGTTAACATGGAAACATTGTCGTTAGTTTTTTAATGCTCAATACTATCATAAAAACACAATCATCTGCCCTGCCTCTTATCTTCTGGGTTTATCATATGTCAAATACTTCCATAACCAAACATTTTCTTCTGGGTGTATTTTCTTATGCTTAGTTCTCTTTTACTCTCTGGTGTTTCTCTTTCTCATTTTTATTCCTATTCTTGTTTCTTTTGTTACGGTTGATCTATTATCGAGTTGTTGTTTATTGCTTGTTGCTATTGATGTTTCTTCTTTTTCATCTTTCCTTGAGCCGAGGGTCTATCGAAAACCACCTCTTTACCCTCACAAGGTAGGGGTAAGGTCTGTGTACACTCTACCTCTACAGACCCCATTTGTGAAATTACACCAATTTTTTTTATTGTTGCTCTCCCGCGGACGTTTTTACTTATCTCTAAAATCTATAAACATCATTTGTCCAAAGAGAGAAACGAAATACATTCATGAACTTAAAATGGATTCAAAATATAGCAAAGATTATGTTGAATTAACAAATATTTAGTAGTCAAGGCATAGGTATTCTGACATTAGAGTAAGGCCTCATGTTTAAGAGACAGGGAGTAGTTAGGTGATCTGTAAAACATTTTTGTGAATATTGATGTAGTTCTTGTGCAAGACAAGTCGACCATTGACAGCACAAGAAAGCATTTTTAGTTCTGCAGAAACCAACGTGATTATGTGAAACAAAATCTTCACAATATCAATTCAATAATATCAGAAAAGGATAATTCAATTTCAATGCATGAGTCAGTTCTTCATTGTCGGACCTAATCTTAAAAATGTTAACGACTTCATTATTCTTTCTTTAAAGAAGCTATGCCACATCCTATTAAATTTCATGGACCATTAAAATAGTTTGATTAGTCACAGTTTCTTCGTACTAATTAAATTGACTAATATAGAAATTCTACTTTAATATCATTTGATCATGATTAGCATTTCTTCATCTCTTGTATCGTTTTATTTGTGACTTTCTTATTTCAACCATTGGATCATTTTAATTTGTTTGTGATCACAACTGAATATTTTTGGATTATAAAAACTGTAATATGACATGCAGTTAAAATGGGTTGAAATTATTATCAATGGGGCCCTTTCTTCCCTTGTAATTGGGCACATCACATGAGCTGGTCAATACAAAGGGATAGTTGCAAAATCAATGAATCTTGAGTGATTATAATTAAATTAATGCTACAAAAACAATGGAGCCAGAGGGGTAAGGAGAGTCAAAATTTGTCCTAGTTCATGAACACAAATATTCTGTCCAATGAACATGTCTAAGGCTGACTTCACTCGTATGGGGAAAAACAATAATGTTTTTTCAATCTTTTTATACTAAAATGTAAATTTTCCTAAGGTTAAAATATGGAATTAATAATCGTATTCTCATGACATTGTGGGGTATAAGTATTAATTGTACAACATTAACTTTGAGTAGGTGTGGAAGGGACCCGTGAACAGTATGGGATAATCTCAATAATGCACTCTTCGGGAATATGCAGAGAAATAATGATGGAGAGGACCAGCCAGTCCTTTTTGTACTTTTGGCCACTTTTATGAGAAATCAGAATTCAGAATAATGGAGAACGTGTTTGGGGTGTGGCCTTAAGCATTTGTATATACTAGTAGCATTTTGCTCGTCTAAAATACAATTAATTAGACGTAGTTGATATGACAAAAGGACTTAATTCCTAATATAACGATCGACCTATAGTGAAAAAATGTTGACAATCCAACATACAATAATGGCATGCGTTGAGTGGAGGAAAATACAACAGATGGGTGGGCTAAACTAAATTTCAAAATATGAAAGACACAAGCATTACGACGACTATACCACCCAATCAACTCTGATTGAACACTTTAACTAGAGTTAGAGGCTGACCTGCAATCGAAGTGTAGAGGGATGGAATATATGACTCTATGTCACTTCGATGCTAGTAAGGGAAAAGTTCAAGTAAATCTTTTCTTTTTTGGATTATTTTGAGTGAAGAATAAGATTGAGACTGGGCTTGGGCCGGTCTTGGCCCACATACTGGGCTCGGTCCACACCCAAGTTTTGACCCATGAACCGACCTAGCCTATAACTGGACCAAAATCGGGATAGGAGCTGGGTCGACGGGCCCAATGTAGATTATTTTGGATCCCTTATGCAAAAATCGACATACAGATTAAATATATGTTACGCATCGCTGGGCTATTTGCAGTCATACCCTATATTTGTACCACCTTTTAACCTGTACTCTATTTTTAAAAATTATTGATTTGGTAGCTAGCTGACAAAAAATCCATAATAATATGACAATTATACCCCTGACAAAACATATAAAAGATGCATCACGCATAAATCACTTTACGGTTCTCCTCCATCACTCCGTCCCTCCTCAGATCTCCTCTCGCAAACCAGAAAGTTGAACCAGATTCAAATTTCAAATTCAAAATTACAAAATACATTGTAAGTATTACAATTCATCTTCAGAATTCAAATTAGTTTTTGAAACGGATTAATCTTCATGATATATGTTTCTGTAATTATTTTCGTAATTCATCATGCTTTTTAAGTTTTAATTCAATCAACGCGTAGATTTTAATCACACTTGCATGAAGTTGTTTGACGGATGAAACATGAACTTTTTACTGATAGATCTTCAAAAACTTTGCATTCTAATTTAACGTGAAAGCTAAAAATTCTTGCTTATGAATACTGTTAAATGCAGGACAAATATGCTGAAATTTTGTCCTGCATTCAACAGTTTTGTTATGACGAAAAACATGCTGAAGTTTTTGGTTTATTTGCTAAACAAGCTAAGTTTTTACATAATTTGCTAAAAATTCACACTAAAAATGCTGAAGTATTTGTCTTGCAGTCTAAACAAACTGAAGTTTTTTAGTTCATTTGCTAAGATTTCAACACTAAAATATGCTGAAGTTATATCCTGCGTTCAATAATTTTCTCATGAGCTTTTTCCGAAACTTCAGCAGAAAATACTGAAGTTGTTTAGTTTATTTGTAAAAACTTCAGGACAAACGTGCTGAAGTTTTCCTCCTGCACTATGTAATTTTCTAATGAATTTTATTTAATGCATGCTGAAGTTAAATTTAGTTCATTTGCTGAAAGTTCATACCAAAATGTGCTTAAGTTTTGTCCTGCATTAAACAACTTTTTCATGAGCTTTTTTCGAAAACTTCAGTATGACAAGCTTAAGTTTTTTAGTTCATTTGCTAAGATTTCATCACTAAAATATGCTGAAGTTTTTTCCTGCATTCAATAGTTTTGTCATGAGCTTTTTCCGTAACTTCAGCAGAAAATGTTGAAGTTGTTTAGTTCATTTGTAAAAACTTCAAGAAAAACGTGCTGAAGTTTTTCTCCTGCACTATGTAATTTTCTCGTGCATGCTGAAGTTAAATTTAGTTCATTTGCTAAAAGTTCATACCAAAATAACTTTTTCTTGAGCTTTTTTTCGAAAACTTCAGTATAAACAAGCTGAAGTATTCCAGTACAGTTGCTAAAATTTTAACTTAAATGCGCTTAAATTTTTTTCCTGCAGTATGTAATTTTCTAATGAATTTTTTATAAACTTTACACTTGAATTCTTTTGTTCAGTTTCCTAATACTTGACACTAAACATGCTTCTGCAGGATGAGTTCGATTTGCCTTGTTATTACTTTCAATGGGAGGTGGACTTTTGATTTCAAATACTTGGATCATGATACAAAACTTGTTCTGCTTAATAAACAAGTATCATTCTATACTTTTCAAAAGAAAATTAGTGAAGTTACAAATATTGATTCAACCAAATATTCACTAAACATATGGTTTGATATCAAACTAAATACAAGCAAAGGGATGCTTGTAACTTCAGATGAAGAACTCAGAACTTGTATACATTTGCTAACAACTAATTCAGCCTACAAGAATTGTCATTTTGCCGTCGAAAAAATACAACTCATTTCTGACAGTATAGCTGCTTCAGAATCTGCAATATTCAAACCATCTCTTGCATATACAATAGATTAAGAACAATTTGCTGGTTATCAACATGAACTAGAACAGCCAATAATGGAAGTAGACAACGAGCAACAACCTTCTAACATTATGACTGTTTCAGAATATGGAATGCTGCAACAATTACCCGCCGCTACAAT